CATTGAACGCGCCTAGAATCCGTAATGAGGTGGTTCTGGTTGATGTTGGCTGTCACATTCACAATGACAGCCTTCAGCGAGTCTTTGGTACTGTGAGCCTGCTCATCGATCTCCATTTCAACCACGCCTCACACGTAATCGTCCAGCAGGTTTAAGTTCGGGATGTCTGGACGGCTGCACAACAGTACAGCGCACGACACAAGAGCGCCGACAGTAGAGCGCCACGACGTTAGAGCGCGCGACACTAGAGCGCCGCGACATTAGAGCGCGCGACACTAGAGTGCGGCGACTTTAGCACGCGCGACACAAGAGCTTTGCGACGTTATCGCGTGCGACTCGAGAGCGCAGCGAACCTTAGAGCGCCCGTCAAAAGAGCGCACAACCAGTCCAGCGCGAGTGGCCCGACCGGACCAACCACTAGTTCGGGTATCGCGTGTTTTATGTAAAATTGGCAGGGAGTTATGCCGCTTAAATCAGCGAGGACATTGCTAAATGCGTCGACGAAATTTTTGCGTGTGACAAACCAAGAAACGTTAGAAACAGCTGACAGCAGAACGAAAAAAAAATAATATTAATAAATAAAAGATGAATATCTGGAGTCTGTTTTTCCGCAGAAAAAAACTTTCAAGCTGACCTAGCTTCATTAGTTCTTTGATTTTGTATATCACAGATTTGCAGGGTAGGATTTTCTGTATCCGTCAAAAGACTGGAAAGATCTGCATCCGATGAAGTTGCGTTGAGCTTTTCTTCAATGAGTTTTTTACTGATACTTTTTTAGCGGTGAGCTTCCTCTATTGCGGACATGGACGTCAGAATACCATTTAAACTTATGCGACAGACGTCTAAATAGCCACCAAATAGATCGGAGCCCAAATGCCTGTCAAGAATAGACCTGATACAACAAAAAGTAAACTATTTATAGTGTATCCGAGAGGCGCACCGCAGCACTGTGAAGAAATCTTAGACTCGCTGCTCCACTCAACTGCAAACTTTCCCGATACCTATATGCCCCACTCGACTGCCCCCTTTTCTCTCCGATGTCAGTAAACAATTGGTTACAAAGAGTCGTAGCCGTTTTATTTTTATTTTTATTAAAGACATGTTAAATCAATCAAAAATCACCAATGCTCCGATCCGATGAGTCGCCCACTTTTGTTCTGTCTGTGGAGCCGCGGGTAAATCGCACATTTTGCGGTGATCGCTCAAATGGGGCGCACTCTCGTGTCTCGCGCTCAACTGGTCGTGCGCCCTCGTGTCGCGCGCTAAACTGGTCATGCGCTGTCGTGTCGTGCGCGCTAGCGCGCTACTGTCGCAGCGCCCTCGTGTCGCGCGCTTTAACGTCGGCGCTCTAGTGTCGCGCGCTCTAAAGGCGCTGTTCCGCGTCTTGAGTATGATCCATTCTACTTTCATTATTGAAAAAAAGAAGAATATCAGACTGTTAAAGGAGCTGTGCAACGATATTCAATTGGAATGTTTTTCTCTCTACACGAGCTTACTGGCACACCTGGGACTCAAGGATACTCACACGCAACGCCATTGGCCAAGAAACTCCTTTGTTGCGGTGTAATTTCAAGGACAAAAGCGATCATTTTCATTCAATCTCTCCTTTGCAAAATTTGATGACGTAACTCGGGGATCGCAGTACACCCAAGTGACGATATTTGAATGCGGTTCATAGATTGGACCCGAGCATAGCATGGGCACTCGACTTGGGCTCGTGATAATTGCTAGCTCGAGAAGCGTTCGGGTAGTGACCCGTGTCCAATCGCTGCAACGACGACAACAGCCGAGCCATAACAATGTCTGGAACTCAGCGCGTGTCCTGCGCTTTGCCAACCCCAGCGCGTGGCTATGATCAAGACTGGCGGCATATAATCGGCTCCAGATCACGTGGCCGCTTGTTCTGGCTGCGAGTTGAGGGGGTGAACGCTGCTTGTTTTTCTTTAATTTTTTTCTGGGACTTCTATTGCGTGGGGTGAAAGACGAACGCGTGTTTCATAGATCATTAGCGTTAGGGATCCGTTTTAAGCGGTATTTGTGCAGAGTACAAAAATTGTTGCACAGCTCCTTTAACTTTGACAATGTTGGGTTAAGAAGGCAATGACGACACACTTCTACAGTTATTTACATGCCATATCAAAATTGTCCCTGGCAATCAGTAAGATTACTTGTGACGTCACAGATAGAAACCATAAGGAGCCACGAAATCACCTTGTAGCAAATGGTAAGTTATTATCTTATATCTGCAGAAAAAAAGCCGCCCCAGAGTTTCCAGTCACATATATTTTCCCTAAAACACTCCATTTTCTTGCGTCTTAAGGTGGGGCACCACAAAGAATGCGGTTCTGCATCCCCAAAATGTTGCTAGGAATGTAATATGATATGACATTTCAATTGATGGATTAATTACGTTTATCTCAGAACAAGGTCAATACACCAATCCTTTACTGTGTGGGCCGTGACTGCTTTTGTTGGTGGAGACTCTCATGCAGAGCTGATGTTGCGACAAGAAATAGGTATGAATATAGCTCAAAGGACGTTAAACATTTGGAATATAAAACATTTTGAAGTGCTTGGGTTTCTGAATAACTTCCTGTTTGTAAAGCATATTTATATGAGCATTATTTGTGAAATGGTGTAACTACGCAATATTGATAGCATGCATCAAAATCTGTAGAAGTTGATGAGGATATATGTAACATCAGAGTCAATCTCCGCAAAGCGACTATGTGAGATTCACATCATCTGCGGGATTCATACCCGTCCACTACTCGAACCTGGTTAGACAGAAATTTGTTCTGCGAGATGTCTAGGCTTGGATACAACATTTGATCAGCATTTGAAAGGCGGCGGAAAAAGCTCACCGGAGAAATGCTCACCGAAGAAAAGCTCACCGCAAAACCAGTAGATGCTGAGAAAAGCCCACCGGCCCTTAAGCGAACGTGGAGAGAAGGTCACCGAAATTTTAATTTTTTATAGTTTACCGGATTGTGCGTCACACGTGGCGATTTAAAACAATTATAATTCGTCACTTCAATTAAGAAACTGTCATTTTTTGTTATATTATTGAAGTTTACCGGGCATATTTCTCAGAAATTAGTAATCACCAATTTTGTCTATTTCTCACGCCGCAACTATAAACAGAGAACATTGGACACCCGTAAAAAGGACAACAATTTATTGAGAGCTTGATAGTACGCCGTCGGTAGCTACGTCAGAGAAAGGTTTGCTTTTCGCAATTTAATGGAAAGCATTTTGTGAACCGTTTCAACACCGAAGATTGTGTGGTCTGATAGATGAGTAGGTATTAGTTTATGTAATCAGTTATTTGCTTTTTGCTTTTTTTACTAGTAAAACTTTAGCTGTGAGAACAGTTTCGCTCTGTCGTGTTTATTGTCCTCACTTCGTCGTCGTCGTTTGAGCTCTTTTCACCATGTATAACGCTTACCAACTGGCCCTATTCGCCACCTTAGTATAGAAACTTGTTCTTTTATAGGTCACCAGTAAAAACAGTGACAGTGTTCAGCTCTGAAGGTTATGGGTGGTTCGCCGTAGAAGGGCACTATCACACAAAGGCAACCAGTGAAAAAACCGGCACAAACGGATAGAAAAAGTACACTCTAAAAAAAGCCCGTGAGTCTGCTTTCCCGCACAACATTCAGAGAGCCAATCACCGCAACGTACGGAGGCAGCTCAGCGAATGACAATGCCGAAGCATATGTTTAGACCAAAAAACGCAGTATGAGTTGTGACATTAAGCAATGCAAGCGTGACGTTTTTCATTGCTTAATGTAACAACTCAGAGTGCGTTTTTTGGTCTAAACATTTGTTTCGGCATTGTAATTCGCTGAGCTACCTCCGTAAGTTGCAGTGATTGGCTCTCCGAGTATTGTGCGTGAAAGTAGACGCACAAACATTTTTTAGAGTGTACATGTCCGTGGAAGGAAGGAATCTCAATATCCTACTGACCGTTCTATCCATGCTTCCAAATGTTCACTAAAGTTTGAAAGAGAATTTCGGGCACCGCTTTGCTGCGCATGAACTTTAGGGTTTTCGGTATTTACTGTTTTGCTTTTTAGGTTTTAGAGCGACATTATTCAGTTTTCGAACTTTGTCCGGTTTTCCAAGTTCATCAAGTTTTTAGTCAGGCTTTTGCTGCCAGAGTAAACCACAGAAAACCCTCGCCCGACATCATTCATTTTGGGAGCAATATACCCAATAAGCTTCACAAATATTACAAAAAAGAACATTTTAGTTTTACAAAACTGACGAATTCGAATGTTAATAGGTTGATATATGTTAAGCCTGATCCGACAGCCTCGCTATAAAAAAATGGTGAGAATTCCTTTGCATCCGCTCAAGGGCCGGTGAGCTTTTTATCGCACCCGTCGGTTTGGGGGTGAGCTTTTCTCGGGGACTAGCATTTGAAAACCTAACCGTGGATTATGATTCTCCTTCTCTCTCTCTCTCAGGCAACACCAGTTTTCGTTGCAGGTTTGGGGTAGACGGTGCTTCCCCTCGTCTCTCCTTGAATTTTTATTACAGGGTGGACGGGCCTTTCCTGGATCTCTACATTGTTTGAGATACATCTGAAGCGTCTCAGAGCGATTGCGTATACTTTGGACATTTCTCGGTGTCCATCCAGTGGTTTTTAGGTAATGGGCACACCTGGAAAATTTAGCTTCAATTCTGAAGCAGTTAGTAGTTTGAATTGTAACAATTCCTGAAGAAAGGAAACAAGTAGAACTTTAAGTTGGGCTAGTTGGTATACGTTATGAAGCACGATGTAAGGCGCAAAAACCAACTGGCAGTAGGATGAAGACACACAGACAGGCGCATGTGTGCGTGCCTTCTTTCTTGTGCCCGTTGTTTTGTGCACCTTACACCATGCTTGATAAGAGGGACAAAGGGGTCAAAGGACAAACACAAATCTCCAAAAACCACTAGATGCTTGTGCGAGCTGAAAAAATCCTTCCAGCTAACCTGTACCTTTGCATGAATTAGTAGTTTGATTATATTTCATACAGCCATTATTGAACTTGATAAATGCACGTTTATTAGAAGGAAAGTGACACTCCGCCCGTCCAACAATTTATAGCATCTGCCGCGTGATCGAAATGTTTATACCAGGGCAGCAAAAGTCACGACTTCACGTGATATATACTTAGAACAATCATATTACCGGTGAACGCTTCGAACACGGCTGATGATGGATATGTGAAAACACGTAAAGCTTTGCCAAAGGTATGAAGCATTCCGGTAGCGGTTTCAAAACAAGTTTGTGTGGTAAGTACGTCGGCCAATTTCGGCTCTGTGATTGAGCCGTTTTCATGGATGTCACATCACCTGGTTTATGGGGCAAGAGAGTGATTCACGCGCTAACCTTTAGCCCGCTCCCAGATTTGCCTACGCTTATCCGTTAAGCGAATCTAGGAATTAACTATAAAGGCTAGTGCGTGAACCACTAAAACGTGTTTACCTACAACTCCCTCGCTTACTACTCCTTTCCTCTCTTCCCCTCCCTAAACCAGTCGATATGACGTCAGTGAAATTGCGCCCATCAATGTGCAGAAATCGGACAGGTTCACATCCTCCACATTCTTTTCCTAATATGCCTCTCCGCACCTTCTTGCCGCGGTTACTGGCGGGAGACAAAGCGCAACTCCTTCACAGAAGGATGAGAGCACGTTGTGGTGAGGCAGCCTAGATCGGGCAGGGGTCTTCCTTCTACGGGAAGCACGCTGAACTTCTGCAGCAGGGTTGCCAGGTACAGGAACATTTGGACGTTCCCTAGCATCTCTCCGGGACAATTTCTTTTGCCTGAAAGCAATGAATGTGCACGATTTTATTTATTTTTATTTTGCGAAAAAAGGAACGTTATCTATGAAATGTTCAGCAGATTGTGAACGCCATAAAATATGCCTGAACCATCGGCTACCACCAAATTATTGATGATAAAGCTAGTAAACAGCCGGTCTTAACAATGTACCACTGAAGTGCCTGAAATGATACCCGACTACGCGGTAAAGCCCTTCAGTCTACGTTATGATAGTTTAAAGTGCACAGCTCTGGCACTAAACTTGAAGAAAAAGCAGAACGCTTCACCAGGCAATGAAGCTCACATTTTCATGGGCTATGAAGCGGTTCCACGTGACGTATATCGGGCTCGAAATCTCCGCTGGGTACCATGTTGATGACCTTTCTCCCAGCTCAAGGCAGTGTTTTTTTAGCTCCCTCGAGTTCTTTCCCGGCCGGAGTAGTCAGGAGCACAAATGAGCATCGGCTGGCACTAAATTTTTATAGAAGTCGACCAGCCGGAGACCAAAGTAACCCCGGTAGATGCCACCGAACCCACCCCGAGAGTCTCAAAACCGGAGAAAGAATGCGCTTTTATGCGGCCCAAGTAGGTCCCCGGTCGTATTTACTGAGTCGTGCTATCGAAAATGCTACTAGCCATGCTTGTGCATGGCGAGTCAATAACCATGTCAATAACTAAGCGTCTGCATGCAAAGTAATGGCGGAAGTGACAGACCCTGTTTGTCAGTATGGCGGAGCGTGGCTTACCCGCAGTGAAAATGAGTTTCATGAAACCGCCATATCAACTGGTTTTCTTGATTTGGTGTTCGGCCGTCAAAGGATGTGCGCATGCAAATGAGTGTGACTGCCTCAGATAGCGGCATTTCAGAACATCTACTGACGTCCAAAAAATGCCTAAAGTTAAAAATTAAATTCTGGCTGAGGAGCGAGTCCAATTATGCGGTATGCATGCTAAGTCTGTAGCAGCCCAACAGATCTGTCCTTCTTGTAAGAACGGTAATTTTTGCGCCAGTTATACTAATTCAGACCCCTTCTTAACTGGCAGTTTTGTTTAATTTTATTCACTTTACGTTCGTTCGCCATGGATCGAGAGAACGCAACCACCTTCTGCAAGCAAAATTATTCTGTTCGTGTGCAGTGCGCCAGTTGCTATGACAGATGTCCCGCCGTCAGACGAGATATCTGTCGACAAAGTAAATGCGGTTGAAGTGTGCAGTTAAGAAAACACAAAAACAAACTGTCGTCGACACGAGAACCCCATTACCAGACAAGTCAGCGTTTACAAAGCTGGTAAACAAGTCTCTTATCGCAAGAAACGTTGCCCCGTGTCAAGTATTTTACAGCTGCAGCATGCACAGGTGGAGACAACTGTAACTAATGCGGCTATCCCTTTCTGTTTAGCCATATGGCTCCTAAATGGTTTGGTGCCTTTCCTCAGTCTGTGCACGCCAAAGCCCTAATCTAAACTGATTGTTTTATTATCAGCAAGTCTGTGTAAATTTAACACTGAAAAGAAAATTCTATAGTATTTTGTGTGCTATCATGCGCAATTACAGTTATGCTTCAGCCCCAAGCTTAGAGCTAGCTCAAACAACATCGCTTTGCAAAAAGAAACGAAGCAACAATTTCTGAGATTTTCGTAAAATATAACATAGCGCACACCACACTGAAAAAGCCAGATGGGGATCAAATCTTCACGTGTACGATTATTAACATGTATCGTTTCTAGCGTGTCTTCGACGTGTTTTGAAATATAGGTTTATTTTTGACACCTTGGTTCTGGAAGCCTTATCAGTGCTGTTTGATACATTTACATACATCTATATCATTAGCCCAGGAACTCCTTGCTTAAAGAAGAGCTACCACCTTCATTACCTTTAAAGCAGTGATAGTTTTCCTTGAGTTAAAACATTGTTATCCATACTAAAGTCATTAGTGTCAATCAAAATGCTCCCATTATAGCATTTGGACATAAATACACACGTTTTCCAGGAAACATTACGACGCCGAAGAACGCCCGGATTGTTTTGTCAGCAAAATATATTTGATCAGGAAAATTTTAAAAACATACAAGCTTCCTCAAATAAATATGGTAATGTTGAAGAAAGTACACATTTATTCTCAATTTGAGTAATAAGATTGCCATCAAAGCCGATAATTTTTAACACTAAAGTTATAATGACAGGAGTTTTCAGAAACCAAGCTCGCAGTTTTTTTTTTTTAACTGGCATCCTGGCACGGTATTATTTAATCAAAACACGAAAAATTTCCAAGAAAATGAGAACAACAAGGCGTGCGTCTAAATTCCACGGACTCGAAGGAAGTATGGACGTTGCTTTCTGTAAAATTTTAAAAGCGCTGCTACCCAGCAGTTACAATTATCAATAAAGAAATTTGAGTTCACATTAAAGTATGAACAAAATATGTTCATACGAATTCTTTAAAAACTTTTGAATTGCGGTTTTATAAAAAATTGATGGTACACTTATTTAGAGAAATATGAAGGAAATTCCGATGAATATGAAGCGCCGTTAAGAAACATGCGGGGATACAAGACCGCGATATGAGGGAATATGACAACCTATTATGGTTTGCTGGTCATTGCACCTCTACACTGAAGTACATCCCAAGCAGCACGACAATACTTGGGCAGTGTCATGCCAGTGTCGGCCGAAAACCGGCCCCAATATCGGCCGAATATGCAGTTTGGCACCACATCCCGACATCGGGCCGGTATTGGCTTTCCGCCGTTTCACCGCCGGCCTAGTATCAGCAGGATATCGTGCAAGTACTGCCCAGATTGAACTGTCGGCCAGGTATCGGCCAGATATCCCAAATGCTTCTCCTCTCAATCGGCCGGACGTCGCCTTTGTATGGGCAATATCGGCTCGCACGTCATGTGCTTGGCGAGTACAGTGACACCTTACATTTTAAAGTCACCACGGCGGTTGACCAGTAGTATAGTTTATCACAAAAAGAAACTCTCCTTCGCCGATGCAGTTTATGCGGCTGTGCTAAGTACACTTTTGACCAGATGAACTTTATTTTTAGAGCGTGAATACAACAAACGCTCATTTATTTCCTCCCTCCAAGCAACGTGGCCCCGGCATAAGAGAATCCAACACAGCCGCCTGAAACTACCTCATCGAATGGGTCTTTAACATTACTCGAGGCTGTGCGTCAAAGAAGATTTTGAAAGGCCGATGTTCCGCTTAGTATATAAGGTGAATGAGTGAAACCTAACCCGTGAATTTGAGAAGTGCCTGCCTTTTATACAATTAGCTAAAAAAAAGGTCTCTTTTTGCATGACACGTACTCGTGCTTCACGCTCGTGTCTTCTTCTATACTTTGTTTTAGCTTAAGTCCAGACGCAGCCAACGCGACGAGCTAATGGGACCAATTAAGCAGCATCGAAAGCGAAAGTCACTAGGCCTTTTCGGTTTGTAATTAATGCAGCCGTGACAGAGCCCGTACGGAAACATGAGGAACACCATGATGGTGCGTTTTAACGCAGTCCGAGTGGTCTCATCAGCTCGTAGCGAAGACTGCGTCTTGACTTGAGGAGAAACGAAGTATAGACTGCGACTATACTTCGGCTCACCCTACGATGGACTAAAGGCAAACGCTTCGGACCGCCAGATCCATTAACGAGCCACTTGGAAATTGCTTCAAAGGATGCATCGGTGCCTGCGTCTCGGATCACAGATGGTGATGGGCGGACAGTGGTTCGAATCGAATAGCACTGAGTGACTCAACAATTTTACAGTGTACAGAAAGCCACGACATACATGCCCTTTGTAGTGTCGAAGCTATAGACATGATGCAGCGCTTTTTGATTTGGAGCATTATTCGTCCACCCTTATCAATGTTAACCATGTCATAGTTTAGCGTGGAACGCAATTGGACCTGGCGGCCCGTGGCTTTGGCCTTATGTCCATCGTAGGATGAGACAAACTGAAACGACCGATGGCATTTATTTCGACGATTCCCTCTCACATGGTCACAATGCGGAGCGAAAGGTCATCTGCTTCTTGCGCAGGGGTTGCGGTGACGTCAAAACACTGAATTTTAATTGACTCTGGCTAAAAGGATAGTCGTTAGACCTCAAGGCAAGCTCCCTTGAGGTCTATTCACTATCCTTCCAATCAAGCCTGTCAGAGCTCGGCGTTCTGACGTCATTAAAGCCCCTGTGCAAGAAGCGGACCAACTTGCGCTCACCATAATCATGAAAACTTAGGAACCGCAGGACCTGGCTTACGATGTTCACGCTCCTTGCTTCGTGATTGGTTCTTCTGCGTTCTTACAGTCTGATGCCGCAATCCAATTGGCTGAGTCAGCGATAATGAGATGCTGGATACTTGACACACCCTGATTTTGCTAAGCTCCCAGTGAGTATAAAAACATTCTGACTCTCCTCCGAGTTTAAACTTTTCACACGTTACTTCATTCAAAAATATTACGCCGTAATTCTAAAAGAAATATAGAAAATGGTGTTTTGAATTTTTTTAGCCATTTTTGGTAGTAAGTTTTATGACATGGGATAATACCTTCCTGACTTTTTTTATTATTCCTTAAGTAGTTTTCTTTTGTTTCTGTTCACGCGATTCTCAGGGTTGAGAACCTGGTCAAGTCTCAATGGAGCCCTATAATTTGCACCCAGATTTTCTTCCAGATCCTTAGAAGTACGATTTTGTGTTTTGGTAAATATTGAAAACCCTAGAAATTAACCTTCAAAACAGTTTTCTTAAAATCACTGAAAAAATATTTGAGTAGTGTTTTTTGAATAAATGAAACCCATTCTTCACGGTAAATATATTTTGAACTAAACTTTTGTTTTGTGTTAACTCGGAACAGAGCCCCACTGAACGGCACGTCAGGTTGCTTCTTTTGTTCAAAACCATTCACCTTATATTTTTTTATCTTTACCAAAATATTCTGGGCATGCCCATATTCCGTGAAGGTTGGGGAATTCCATTCTCGCTGCCTTCTGCAACCTAAGCACCGATAATTGCCTATTTACGTCTGACAAAAAAAATTTACAACCAAAAAACGCCGGAACCACTGGAAAACAAAAAAAAACAAATAAACAACCCAAATTTTTATAAATATAAATCACGAAAACAAGGAATTTACTTCTAAGTATTTTATTTCATGCGCTACCCCAGTCATTGCTTAAACAATTATTTAGAGAAGCGCCAGATTGTGAGGGTTTTCGTGCAGAGTCATTCATGACTTAGATTTGCCCAGATGTGATTTAAGCATACACTCTAATTTTATATCTGCAGGTCTTACCGAGCGAAAATGCGATGTGGTATTCTGGCTTCTTTGAGAGTTCAGTTCCATCGGCTGTCAAGAATCTTGTTGGATCGAAATCATCAGGATTTGCCCAAAGCTCTGGGTCTCTGTGTACTCCCATAACATTCGCCAGAACCATAGTTCCTTTCGGAATGAAGTACTTGCCGATGGATGTGTCTTCTTGTACTCTGCACAAAAACGAATCGAAGAAATAGTCAACACTAGTTGAAAACACTGCATTTAAACTTTGTAGACAGTTCAACTGTTAAAGCATTGAAATAATTGACTTGCTAGATGTCACTTGCTAAAGCTATTAAACAAAAATATCGCAATCTAAAAAGTATATAAAATATTTTTTCTGGGCATACCCAGAGCTCGCAAAAACGCTTGCTTTGATTTTTATGTTTTTTTTATTGACGCTTTGTTTTTCATGTCGTTGCATAAAACAAGAAAAAAATTAAGCCATTTAAAAAAAAAGTTATACAATGCCTTTAACAGCTTGCCAAAGCTCGTGCATTTCATGAAGCCTTTTGAAAACAGCAGTCCACTCCGGCCAAGTTTCGTGGTTTATTCTTGCATATAGAACTTGTTTTACGATGCTTAACAAATAGTTCCGAACTTCTTCGGCGTTCAGGTCATCATGCCGGATGGCAATGCATGACCTCAAACTGCTGTAAAACATTACAACATGATCATATCGTAACGTACTTTATGGTCATTGGAAGCACTGGGGAAACGTATTTCAGATCGTTCACGTTGCGTAGAAAATTATTAAACAAATTCACATTGTTTTCCTTTAATCAACGAAGTCATACACAAACCAATATTTATTACGTTTATAGACTTTTTCAGACTGGGCAAAATAAGAATAGAACGATTTTTTTAACCGCGTGGTTATTCGTAGTGCTTGTATTCCTTGAGTGGTGCTTCTTCAAGAACAATGAAGCGGGACAAAAATATGTCGAAAGAAATACGCAAAATAAATTAACGGTGAATGCTCTTCATAAGTATTATCGCATGTAATTATTCCAGGTAGAATAAACCTTTTTGCAAAGCAAATATAATCAAGCTTAAGCAATCATAAAAAAAGAGAAAACTGAAATTAATTTATACAAACGCCTCTTTAAGACGGTTGCGAAACCACTGCTCTAATCATCTTGCTCTGATGAATTTCTCACCGAGCATAGTACGAGCAAAACGTGCAGAGTTAAGAAGCATTAGGATAATCAACATTGTGACACTGTCACGTATATCTTGCATTTCAGCCTTTTACTGAATGAATAACTGAGTTAATAATTATTTAATTAATGCTTGAATGAAATAATGAATGTTTTATTTTATGTTTCGTTTCCCTAACGAATACTGTACCTTAGGGACAAAGCTTTGCAATTTACCGCTGATACCTCGGCCTCAGCGTAATATTTGAACTGCTGTATTTCAGGGCAAGTTCAATCGCCATTTATTTTAATACAGCATGAAAGTTTGAACGGGACTGAGCTTTTATATTCATTAATCTGACTTTCTGTCTCATAAGAGTGTGAGGCCGTGTCACTTATGTGACTGAACTAGCAAATGCGTCAGTCTTACATTATCTGTTAGATTGGTAACAGTACGGAGGCATATGTTCGATTAAATTCGGGCTGTATCAAATAACTGGCTGAATAAATATACTATACACTTCTATCATCTTTTTACCGCCCTTCGTATGCCGCAAATACAATATTAAAAATTCAAACGTGAGACATAAAGCATGCTACAAGGATTATAACCTTATTGGAATCATAATTAAGTGCGTCATAGGTGCAGTACATTATTTAAGGGCTTATGACGTGTTTCATGTGCGCTTAAAAGACCTTGAGAACGAACTCCTTTAAAAATCAGCGAAAAAGCTTACGATCTCGGTTCTACGTGATCTTATCAGCGTACGCTGCCTCGCCGATTCTTAGAGAGAGTAACAGACAACAACTTCGTTCCTAAACATTTTAGCGTGCCCGTAAAAAAAATAAAAAATAAAAAGATTAATAAATGAATATTGCGAAATTTCATAGTCTAGCGAATCCTAAAGGAGAGAATTGCCCGCTGTAGTTACTCACAGAGTGAGAACGGCAGGGCGTGTCTTTCGAACGCCCGGCATCCATCTCGCGTTCTATGCCTTCCGTCAAGGTTTAGGAAGTAATACATTACAAGCAACGAATTACTTCTAATCGATTACTTTTTCGAGTAATTTTGTAATTGCCACGTAATTTTCGATGGTTGTAATTTGTAATGTAATTTCGTTGCAAATATTGGTAGCGGATTGCTTTAAATGCTCGTTACTTTTAAAAATGTGAACATAAAACGGAAACTGAAGAACTTTGAGCATGCAAACACCCACTCGAACAAATCTCAAAAACGAGCGCCCGCCCACGTGCATTTTTAAGTGCGTCAAAGCTACAGGCACGAGAAGGCAGCTTTGAGACGTTGCGCTCACGCTTCAAAGGCCCGTTTTAAAAGGGAGCTTTCGTAAATCGACTCCTGACGTCCGAATCACCTAGCCGAGGTAGGCACTGTTACTGAGCATTCGTACCGCTAGATTTGTCCGCAGAACTTCAGGGATCACTTCCAATCGCCGTATAGCTAGCGGGATGGCGGGTGTGGTTGTAGCTTTCGCTGCCTTGTCAGCTTACGGGTGAACGGAGGGCACCTACATTATTGCTCTTAAATGCAATATTTTATTGTTAACAAGGGCTACCATAATGCGGGCGTATAAAAAATGTAAACTTGTGTTGCAAAACATACTTTAAAAACATCAAAATGTTTGTATTGTTTTTGTACGAGAGAACAGAAAGGGGAAAACGGTACCATGAAAGCAATTAGTAACGTAACGAGTAAAGTAATCCGTGACTGAGCGGTAATTGATCATATATATGAGGCTCGGTATATTGTAATTGTAATCCGCGACATTTTTCAAGTAACGGGCACAAGTAGGCCTTCGCCGTACATTGTCTGCTCGAGCGCGCTCGACGTGCACGAGATCCCGAAACGTTTCCGAATATAGACGCTTTGCAGCAGCTGTGAATGGACGCCGCCATAACTGGCCTTCAGTTTTTGTTTCCTCTTATTTCGTTTATTTCACTTCATCATTACCACAGCAGGCCAGGTTATTGCCGTATTAGATTCAACTGTGTCCTTTTCTAAAGCATCGGCCTTTGTAGAGGATCGTCAACTACCGTTCCAGTTGCTCGGCATCTCGGTAAGACACGAGAAGGTCAGCGATGGTGGCTGTAATTTGGCGCGTGTGTAAAGCGTCTATAGGAAGTCGGCACTGGACGGGGAACAACTGACGCTCCTCTTTTGACGTTGAAGGTGACTTAGCTGTTAAGTGCAAGGTCGGAACGCCAGATAACGATAAGGAGTAACGCCGTACCCTCTTGGCATACCGATGGGTATCATGACCTTCCAACGCGTTATCTCAAGTACGCTGGCCATGGTGAAGGGCATCGCCTTGCGGTCCTCCCACGTGGGTTGTCTGTGACGACCAACAACGTCGTCGACTTCTTTCTGAATCCTGGCCTGCACCCTGTCCGGATTCTGCGCACAGACTAGCAGCAGCCAGTGGATCAGGGATGGCGCATTGCTCGCGGCGCCCAAGAAGAGCTCAGCGGTGTTGCCCAGGAGATGGCGTTCTGTACAGATAAACAAAAATACCCTGATAGTAAGCGAGGATGTAGTAAGCGTTGCCGAATATTACTTGACTATACTTCGGTTCAACTGAAGTCAGAGTGCCGCCGAGGCTACACGCCAACGAGGCCGATAAACCAGCGATTAAAGCGACACTTACTGCATTCGTCCTTTTCTGTGCGTGTACTGTCGTCGGCTACAGCTAGGGCGCCCCAATGTCACTCTGTTAAGTGGATGACATTATTTGTAGCTTACATTTACATTTTTGTTTACATTCATACTTACCCTATGTCCTTTTCACCTTCTTCGGGTCTCCCCTCTCCCAAAGCAGGGTAGCGAGTTTCCCTTGAGAAGAGGCACACATCTGCCCCGGCATTGACCTTCCTCTGTACCTCAACACTTCAACTCAACTCAACCGAGGCCGACAGCACGCGCTCACATGGAAAATACAATGAAATCGCAGGAAACAAAATGCCGCCATAGCACAGTCAAACAGTCAACGCCAAGAGCTCTGGAGGGGAGACGCCCTTTTAGGCGCTCCAGAACAAGAAAAGAAAAATAAGCTTTCCGAACAAAATGGTCAGATGTCATCTCCCTCCGCAAAGTGCACAAGAAGCCACACTAGCTAAACTAATCAAGCACAGTAGAAACACCGCTGACTTCAATGTTTTGCCAGGGTGTAGTTTTGACTTGTATCCTTTGACTGCACTCTGAATTAGTATGAAACGAAGCAAAAGTGTTCGTCATTGATAGGGCTCTAATATTCGCAGCAATTTTGCTCACCGAATGTATATTATATTTTGAACTAAAATTAACCGAAAATGTATTGATTAGCTGTCACCACTTATTTCATATGAAAGAAATAATTGGCGGGCTGTCTTACAGATTGCTGTTCTTAAATTATTTTTGTCGGACATTCAGTTTTTTCATCAACAGAGGAAGGAATCATTCGTAAAACAACTTGCGTGAAGAATATATGATTCAGTGCTGGCCATATTGTCTTCTTACTTAGTTTTTAAGTGGTGATCATAAATAACTCGGCAGTGTACACGTATAAGAAAAAAAAACAGACATCCACCGAAGAACAATGGCTGGGACACTATATATCAGAATGCACGGAGTGCACATGAAGCCATCGGAAATTTTAGGCTGGCCCTGGAAGCCAGGCTTCGGCTGCACTTCATAGTGAATTCGGCAGATCGTTACCATTTAGCATTTGATCACGAGAATAAGCTATTTGTTTTTGGAATTAGTTAACTTGGCCAATTAAAATCTCGAGACACTGAAAACCAACGTCACGAAGATTTTTTTTAGTATACTACGGTTATGAAGTTAAAGCGATGAATGCAGTGGGTGCAGCGAGTTGGACAAGAATGTCCAGCTTGCTGTACCTTGTGTTTGGAGATCTGTGTTTGTCCTTTGTCCCCCAAGTTCGCCTTCTCCAGAGATTATCATCGTTAATATTTACGGAGCTTTCTATTTCGAAGGTTGTCGAAAACAAAGAGCCGGAGCGGGGTGTTTGCCCACTGATCGATGCGAGCGCCTCATGCGGCTAGCGTAGAATTAAAGGGGCACTGACACATCAAAATCATATTTTATTTTATTATCCGAAACGATTGAAAATGATGCCGGGACATTACCCTCACAATTCCAAAATTGGGAATTCAATATTTCTAAATTAAAAAAAAAAAAAAAAAAAAGCTTTCAAATGCCGAATTTGAAGTTCCCGCGCTATCCGCGCAAGTGCAGCGAGTCAAATTTTGATGCCTCCTGCGATTCGACTTTTTTTCGGACCTCCGATCCACGCTGTGTAGCAAAACGCCGTTGCTACCGCGACCCGAAGAGAGGAGGAGGTGAGCAGGCGGGATAGAAGGGTGCCGGCATGGGGAAAAACCGGTTTGTTCCCCGACTCGCCGATAATCCTCTGCTCGAGCGGCGCCAAGTTTTCCGAGGGAGGATACAAATCCAGGAAGCGACATCAAAACGGAATTTGATTTCTTGTATTTCAAAAAGAAAGGCCGTAGTGCGTTCGCAATTGCGTTAAAAAATATGTTTTACAATTGCCGTTATTAAATGCTATAGAAATGTCACCTACAAAGCTTCTAAATTTCCTGCTTTTGGCGTCACCGATCAAAAGAAGCAAGGAGGTGAGCCAACACCACCTAGACAGAAGGCCTCCGCACGCGTCATCAGAGTCAGATCGATAGAGGCGTGAGATCGGTCACGATTGCTGTGTCAGTGTTCGGCTGGGGCTCGTGTCCAATCAACGCGTCGAAGGTCGGGCTCGGGCCCAATAGCCGAGTTAGCGCGATCTGACACTGATGACGTTTCATAGAGGGAGAGGAGACTATGCGGAAGCCTCCTGTCTAGGTGGCGTTGGGTGAGCGCGGGAGATATAAACGCCAAAAATAAAAAGGCGCGCGGGCGCGCAGAAAAATTTTCTTTCGTGATGCGTTTTTTTGCGTGTTTATGACTATAACTTGCATCTTTTTAGACAATAAAAACGAATACGACCTTTGGGGTGTCAGGGCCCTTTTAAGAGTACCGCTGGCTTCCACAGCTCCGCGTCCCACCCTGAGGTATGCTGCAGGTCTGTACACTGGAGGACGATAAAAAAAAAAATGCCTAGGGAAGCGCGTGGCTTGGAAGGCCTGCAGCGCTATTTACCAGAAACGAGCTCGATCTTTATGAAGGCTTTAACGACTGTTTAATTTTTGTCGTCACCCCTCGCTTAACTGGCAATTGATTATTTAATTCTGATTTCAGTGCCGATTGTAGATGCGTTCAGCGACAAAGGCGAAATGAAACGTGGCTGAAGCGACCGAGTCGGCAAGTTGATCTATCAGTTTTCGGGCTTTGGATAATAAATTCGCGGGACAAAAAACGTTAAGTGGTACTTTATGAAATGAACTAAAAACCACTAATCCTTGTCCGTCCAAGGACCTTATCAAGCAAGGTACTTTGAGCTCCGCGATCTCCGGCTTTTGCGTTTTTGTATATGAACATCACCAGCTTATCAACAACAGCGCCGAAATCGGTGAAGGCTCAGTAATCGCCTGCCGACCCAGTGGGGAGTAACGACAAAAAAACTAACAGCCGCTGAAGTGCCGCTCGTGCACACAATAGCCTCGATGTAATGTCAGCGTTCTTTTGTTAGATAGCACCAGAGGTCTTACTAGCCAAGCGATCGCCTGCGGTTTTTTCTTATCATCCGCGACTGCCTGGCTCGCCCGTTCGGTCGCTCTGATAGCTACGGTTGACGGTTGGAGGGCATTTGAAACGGCGGAGCCATCCCGTACGAAAATATCAGATATGGCCCTGATATATTTTATTTACGTTCAGATATGATAATATAAGCAGTCAAATAGGGCTGTATTTCGCCCGATATGGGAGCTAATACGGCCGTATTTCGACATATAGGTGGGCAAATACTGCCAGATCTGGCGTATAAGTGCGTAAATAGTCCATATATCACCATATACGCGTGCAAATATAGCGCCCCTGATAATGATATATGTGCCCGTTTCAGTCGTGCAAGCAACAAGTTATATGTACTCACTAAGACACTAGTTGATTTATCTATATTCCATGAGTCTCATGTAATTGGTTAACTATTGTCAACATCTTTAAAGTGAAGTTATTCTAGGTATTTGGACCAGTTAATCAATTGCGCAATTTGAAGATTGAAAGACAAATGAAATTTGGTTGTATGTTTGATGTGACAATATGACGAAGTGCGATCGGAACTCGAGTTAATCAAATAATAAATTTTAGTCGCAGCTCTTAGGCACCTGTTTCCGAGTTAAGCGGTGTTGGCGTCGCCATCGGTGTAACCGCCCCGCTAAATTTCGCGAGAAATTGAATTGGTACGTATGTCACGTGACGTCAATTTTCCCGCGAAATCTGGCAGTGAAACTAATTTTTTTTTCATGTTTCCCCGCTAAATTGAGCGGGTAAACACGAACCGTTAGCTTACTCAAGATGCAAGAGGCTACTTCGCCGTCCCGAATCCTTTTCCCTTCGAACGGAAGCCGTTGCGCCCGGAGTACAATACGCAGCTCTTTTAAAACCGTTCGCGCAGCATCGCATCCGTTCGTTTGCGACCGACAGCGATTCATCGTGTGTTGAAAGTAGGAAGATGTGCTGTCCGTGGTGTCTTTTATGTATAACTCGTTCGTAAAAAAATTTGAAACAGTGTACACGTGATTTTAAATTTATTGGTAAAAAAAATATATATATATATATATATATATATATATATATATATATATACATATTTATTTATCTATTTATTTATCTATTTATTTGTCGACATCATGCACAAAAAAATAGTCGCGTTAATTTTTTCATTTAAAATTATAATGTGGTTTATACAGCGTAAAACATAGTATCTTGAAACTCGCATCGTTTTGAGTTCAAAAGCTAGACTTCATAGAGCTGAATGTTAACTGGGTATTGACAGCAGGGTAGACGCTACGCGTGTTTTAGGCCAATCGTGTCTCCGGTTAGGGTGACGTGACTACAGTCTAGGATCTGGTGACAAAGCAGGACATCGCACCTGCCTGGCGCCCAAGGCCACACATAGCATTCACAGCACTGTCAACCTTCGTTACAAGTGACACATCTCCTGGTTGTGGCCCCAAAAGATAAGCCTTTTGTTCGTGAAACCCCGTTTTGGCCTCTCCTTCAATCCTTTTCTCTCTCCCTAAGCTGAAAGCGTTGTAAATGGTGAGTGGTCACGTGGTTTGACGGATGACGCATTAGCCGTTGCCGATCTCGGAATGCGCTTAGCCGGTGCCGGACCCAGCGTTGCCAGGTGGTGAAATTCGGCACCAGATTTGGAAAATCTGGTGAAATTGGAAGGTTACTGGTATTGATGTACCGGACCGGTTACACCAGACCATGTCAGGTCAAAACTGGTGAAAAATCTTGAGAAAGGGTTTGTCACTTGCATTAATCAAATTCCTTCCCTTCACCCGTCAAAGTGTTGTCACAAGCGGCACGCTACCCTTTTTGAGAAGCTTCCCTTTCACCGCCTCTTGGAGGAAGAGCAAGATATTTGGAAACAACGGTACAGAAAAATTGTGAAGCACATCTGGGCTGAAGAGTGCGTGTTTGATGGCAAAGTGCCGGATGACTGCACGTTATTCTGGAGTGGAATATTCGAGTACGAAAACGGGCTAGGAGAGAGATCATACAAAGATTTAATCCCCTATGCCTTATCTTGCCTGTCTTGCCCAGTGTCGAATGCTGTAGTAGAAACGGGTTTTAGCCAAGTCAGCTGCATCAAGACCAAGTACAGAAATGAGATATCTGCAATGCTGGATGCTATTGTGCACATTCGCACAACATTGTCATTGAAGTCTGGCTGCTGTGAGCAGTGTTTTACAACTGATGACACGCTTCGAAGGTTTACGTCAGAGATGCACGAAGCAGTGTAGTGAGCTCTGGCACTTGTTAGTGTATTTATGTACCCTATATGTGTATGTTCCATATTGTTATGGATATGAGCGATAGATGTGCTTTATGTGTCAAGAGATATTCCGTGTCAGTGTTACTGGACTTTGCGTGACTGGATGTCATGCATATCAGTTCTTTTCTTGACGCTTGACTTCAAAACCTGTTATGAACTGACCTTTATCGTGGTGTCGTATTTGGGCTTCGTTCTTAGCGTTTCTTTTTCTTAATGCTGAGCAGAAAATGTACGCTTTATTTAGACTGCGAGTGTCTTTAAGTGCAATATTATGTGGCCTTTCTTACGTGTCGGTGGCCTTCATTAATTTGAATTTTCCGTCTAAGGACTACTCAGCTAGCCCCAACATCTCATAAACATGGTATGTTAATAAGTAATAGTGCTGATACGCCATATGTGTGCTTTCTAGTAAACCTCTTGAAAGCTATCCTTTTGCGTGTTCATGCGTAAAAAAAGCTGAAGGAATTGGAGATAATAGACGCGATATTTTAGTGCTGGTGAAATCTGGTGAAATTTCGGCCAGAATTTGGTGCCGAATCATCTTTCCAACCTGGCAACGCTGGCCGGACCTAGGTTGGCGTGTGTTGCAGAAGCAGACATACGCAGATGCGTATGTTTGCTTCTGCAAGCGATTTCTTCAAAGAAGCCCAAGAATTTTTTGTGATGCGTTTAGTGTTCGGTTCTACAAACGACAGCTTGTGCTACATCGTGTTGAATCTTCACGGGCACCTTCTTGTTTCTGTGTTCGAGTGGTGGTTTTGCCGTGGCCGTGTCGACATCTCCCTCGTACAACACCTTTCAAGTCGCGTCTCGTCAACGTAAGTGCGCTGCAACCTACTTCGTGAAAATTGATCGTTTTTCCTAAATGTATTCTTCCAGATTACCTCTAGATTTAGGCCGTGTCTATATCCTGTCAGCCTGGAGAATCATTGTGCAGAATGTTTCGGCATTGGTGCGATTGCGCTACAATCAGAAAGTTTCGACATGCCGCCGACAACGTTTTGACGTGTCGCCAAAGAACAACAGCAGCACAGACTCTTAATTACGCGTTCCAAAATTTGACGAGCGGCTTTACGAGTCGCTTGTAGAAATATTGTTACTATTTTGCTAAATACTGGTAAACAATGCTAGGTCATCCGCGGGCGCATCCCTCTCCGCCCGCTTGTACTTCCTCTAACTTGACGGACACTCTGTCTCGCGGTTCATGCTGACGAAACGATCGTCGGGATACCGGGTAATTGCTACAGCCGAGCGCGGCACAGTTTACCATTGCTCCCGCTGTGGAGGGTCGAAGAGTCAACTACCAGCACGATGGATACCGTTTTCTTTTTTATTCTTGCAGATTTGTCTTAAAAGAAGCCGTGAACGCTACACTTATGCGATTTGTGCGAGAGTGATACGCCCATGGGGACGTTATGTAGTTTGCTAATCTTTACGATAAGTCGGCTAATTAAATAAAATTCATTAATTAACGTTTAATTAATGATAATAGACATATGGTTTAAATTAGAAACTTGCTGAGCGTCGTTCAAAACCCTTAAACCAGCAATTTTTAGAAAGACTGAGCGCGTGTGAAGCGCAGTAGTGCGCTGAAATTACTACTCGTGGACCAGGTACAAGGCTGGGGCTAGATAAGAGACAGAAAAATTGCTTGGGCGCCTTACCGAAACCGCTAGCCTTGTACCTGCTCAACGAGTGGTGGCTTTAGTGCGCTTCTCACGCGCTGAAAGACTTTCTGAAAATGACTGATTTAGGGATTTTGGACGACGCCCCGCTAGCTGCTTATTGGAACCGTATGTCTATTTTCACTAATTGAAAAGTTTATTAGTGAATTTTAATTAATTGGCCGAGTAATCGCAAAGCTTTGCGCCCACGTAATGTCCCCCTAGGCGTATAACCCATTCCAGAAACCGCATAAGTGTGGCTTTCATGACTTTTTCTAAGAACAAATCTGCAAGAATAAAAAAAAAAGCACCCTGATATGGGAGGCAGATATACCCCTATTTGGCAGACACAGATATGGATATATAAAAAATTGGGCAGATCTGGTTATATAAGGCTTATATAAACTGATGTGCTTGATATGGCCAGATCTGCCCAATTTTTTATATATCCATATTTGGTTTTTTTTTTTTATATAAGTCCAGATCTGCCATTTTCGTAAGGGATGATGACTCGATTCGTCCTATTTGAAAACTCGGGCGAAACGAATTTACAAGTAGTAAACTAAATTAATAAGCATGACTCCGTGATCCTGTGCTCAGGAGAACCCTTTCAGGCAAAACGTAGCTGAAGCTACAAGCCGATAAGACCAGTCAAGCAGCACCGAAAGCACTACGTCATGTCCGCGGTTGAAGAAGAAAGAGATGTCTCAACAAAGACAAAAAGGGTCAAATTTTCCTAAGTCTTCGCACATCTCTAGGTGCTTGGGGCACTGTCAGGTTGCGGCTCTACGCACACGCGCAGTTGCGCGCCTCGCGGCCTTGGAAATGCGTGAGCGAATAAGGAGGGTTTCTTGAGTTCCTCTTATGCTGCGCCATTTCACGGCATTGGTCCGAAATGGGAGTTTCGACACACTTGCCCCGTGGCGTGGAGGCGCCGTTCAGACAGCTCTCTTCTTACACCGTGATCATGACCTATGTTGAATTTTTGTTTTTGTGTTGTGATTGTATGTGTGCTCGTTTTTGTAAGTTTCCTAGCCTTTGTGCGAGCTACAAATTTTACACAGACGTCCGCAAAAGCCGGCAGAGGGAGCAGTACAGGGCTAGAATACCTTCAGGATTATACGCGTGGAGCTGCTATAACAAGACGGAGCTAATGTGGATCTCAGTGCATGGGCTGCCTTACGAGGCGCTCGCGCCGAAGTGAGGGTCCACGTCAGGCGATATTTTGTCCCGCCCAAGCTGTTTAGTCAGAGCCACAGTATAATTTATAAATCTCGTTCTAGACACTGCGCGAGTCTCAGCTAACAGATAAAGTTCTCTCCTAGCCTTGGTGGCAACTGTTGCAACCGTCGCCCATGACGTTTTTATGGTCGACTCTACTCATTTTACCCTTAAACTGAGAGTGCAACCAGAGCTACAAGCGCGAGCTAACCCATGCTCCTAGCTTTGAGATGCGCATTTCTAGCGCGAGTGCTCGCTTTGTGGAAGAACATTTCAAAGCAGCGACCTCGTGCTCATGGGCTTGTGGCATTGGCTCAAGTTTCAACTTAAATATGAAGAGAATGTAGTGCTTGCTTCTCGCGGGCCCGGTTTTTCATGCTGCTCTACAAGAAACGAGCTTGTGTTTAAGGTCCTTTTCTGGGGGTGCCGTGTAGAAATTTTGACTCGCGCTACGTGTTAGACACAGCTTGGTCATTGACCCTAGTTTCGTGCCTCAACAGTGATAAGAACAGCCTTATGAACACGTTGAAACGGCCAGTTCTCTAACCTGGTGTTCAAGCCAGCGTCCGTCTATACTCCGTTCACCCTTAAGCTTAGACTAGAAGTTCCGCCTTCAACGCGAGCTCGCTGCCTTCTGCAGTACTTTGGTTGCGCGTGCCTGCGCATTTACACTTGTGCTAGCAAAAGTGGCAAGTTCGCACTAAAGGCGGAACTTCTATTATCAGCTTAAGGGTGAACGAATTTATATGTCAAAGCAGACTCCCCAAGTGGAAAACCCACGCACAGAGATGCCATGCAAATTAGATAGTTTTTTTTTTTCGCTTTGTCTGACCGGTGGGGATGCTGTTGGAATGAGCTACAGGGGGACGCGCCAATGGTACTTTATCTGGTAGATCGCTTTGCTAAGTTCGCCGTGCTGTGCCTTGGTTAAATGTCTACTAAGAAACGGGACAACTGCGACACGTCGATCGACCACCTACCATGAAACGCTGAATTGGGATCATGCTGATGTTTCTTCACCATCCTGAGGTAGCCGTCAATGAAGTCTCGGTTGAAGTCCGCCTCTATCGTATCTTCATGTTCTTTAATCCGGTCCCTAATTGAACAAGAAAACAATACAGGAATGTGTTTATTTAAAGTGTTATGTTCTCGGTGGTTTCCTATAAGAAGTAAAAGTGTGTTATAAGCAAAGTTTCAACTCTCATCGAATTCCAATATATTAGTGCCGAATATTAGCCAAAAAGTTGCATATCAAATCAAAGACGAATACTGAATAATTTATCGGTATATTCATAGTATTTTAAGAAGGCACATAAGCCAGAAAAAAAGCCCTTCATGCTTATTCTTCTGCAAGGCATACAGAACAAAGAAAGGCTAGCACAAATAAAAACACTCTTAATGGTAACAATCAAGCGACAATCTTTATACAGCTGACGGATGTGTCCACCCATCCACGTGTAGAAACGCAGCGTTCTGGACGAGTGAATGGATGTGGCTTAAAGGTTTGAATCAGGTTGCGTCCCGTGCCACAAAATTCAAACCTCGTTCGACGCTGAGGGGAACGACAGGTTAGCGGGTAAGATCGGTTTAGTAATCGCTGTTATTTGATTTTGACACTAAACTGTCATTTACTGAAGGTAACAAACAATACTAGTTTTATAGTGCAAAAGGATTGGTCCCGGTGATGCAAGATATATAAACGCAAAATGGCGGCGTGCGGGATTTACAGGTTTCACATGTCCATGGTGATTATTTCACTTTATAAACTGCGTTCCTGAGTAAGTAAAACAAAATTGCCCGCAGTACTAATATTGGATGTACCGAATTATTTGAAAACTAACCAGGAGGAATTTGAAAGTCGAATCGAATTGTTTTTGTGCATTCATTATTCGATACGAGTTCTAAACTGAAATACTCGTGCACCCCTAAGAAGAAGGGCTATACTTCGTCTCACCCGACGATGGACTAAAGGCAGAAGCTACTAACCGCCCGATCCAACCACGAGCCACTTAAACATTGCGTGGTATTTCGCTTCGATGAACGTATCGGTGCCCGCGCCTCGGATCACTGATGGAAATGGGCGGACAGTGGTTCGGATCGAGCCATGAGTGACTCAACATTTTTACATTGCAAACAAAGCCACAACGTACTGGCTCCTTGCAGTGTCGAAGCTATAAAAATGACGCAGCGTTCTTGGATTGGGAGCATTAATTCGTTCAAACCTAATCAATGCTAAGCGTGTCATAGTTTAGCGTGAACGTGATTGGACCTGGCGGCCCGTGGCTTTGGCCTTTAGTCCATCGTAGGATGAGACGAACTATAGCAAGTGCCACTAAATATAAACGCTTTTTTACCAGAGCAATGCCACGCGTTTCTCCTTGCCGTCTTTACTCTTGATAAGCCAGTTCTGCGCAGTGATTCATCGAGTGTGCTCAGGCGAAACAATGATAGATTAGACCGGTGCGTCGTCTGCTACGTCTGCTTTCTTACAATATTGCTATTCAGCTGGGTTTAACCTCTACGCCTTTCCAATAATCCACTTTTTCTCTCGCACCAATTCAACGAAGGGCTTCTCTGACGCTTGAAGTTTGTAGTGGGCTGCATCCTGGGCGGGGGTGGGATACTCTTTGTGTGAATTCAACTGTGTTCGATTCCATTAGTATGCCCCGTCACAAAACTCAAATCTACCTGCCTAAAGGGATGTAGCGAACAGTTAAAAAAAATTGGTTTGATGAAGGTAGCAACCGAATTGACCTTGCGATTTACAAAACAGAATAGAGATTACCATTCATGCATTTAGTGCCGCACATCTAGCTCAGCGTGTAATACCCCTGTCAGACGGGCACCTACAAATACCTTTACGCCAAAGGAAGTTAAGTGTAAATGTCATTTAAGCAGAGCCACACGGTAACTCAAATGGTATTTAGCGTAAAGGTCCTTTCATGAACCTGAGTTCTCGCAACACCTTTACGGCTGCTAAAGGCGTACTCTCGTCAGCAGCGGTCACTAGAGAAGAGAATTGAAATAAGAGATCGTATTGATATCTAAAATCAATGCTTTTGTATGTTTACTATTGAAAAAGAGTGTCTTTCACGTATATTTTGTACAAACCTCGCTCTACTAATAGTTTTTTTTTTGTTGTTTTTGTACTCACGGCCCCAGTTATCTATACTCTGTTTCACCTTATGTTGTACCGCAGCGAAGGCTAGAAGTGCGAGCTCATAGCGTTGGCAGCTGCCCTTAATGCACGAGAGCTTGAGCCGCCAAGATGTGCCCCAGAGCAAGAAGCTCGCGCTTTAAGACTGTACTGCGGTGCATCACAAGGTGAAATAGAGTATAGTAGGCCTCGTCGTCCCGCTGCTCGCCTGTTCGTATCGTCTGCTTCGGCACTTCGGTTTTCCTCCTCTGGATTTTCCTTACAATTATAGTTATCTAGCTTTTACTTCTCTGCCTTATATTTTATCATCCTTTACTAGTGTATTGCTAACTGGTTTTTGTACATATATATTTCTGTATCACACTCTCGAGTCGTGCGATATGTCGAACGACGAAGGAGCGTCCTCGACTAGGAAGGCGTCGCCGCCCTTCCATTGGAGCGTTGAGGCGACCTGGGCGCTGATACGACTTTGGGAGGAGCGGCTGGAGGACTTCCGACGCGTGCGATGAAACTCCAGCGCGAGCACGACGTCGAACCGAACAGGGCAAAAGCGTAGCAGAAGCACGGGAGGAGCGGGAGCTCCGACCAACGTTAGGACTACAACTGCGTGAGCGGGGAACGCTCAGGGTTGCCGCTAATTGCAAAAAAAAAACCAACAAAAAAAAAACACTTTGCTTAGGCTTAAAGTAAACGTTGTTAAAATCACTGGACTAAACTCGCCATATTTTTATAAATAATTTGTTTGCTAAAAAAAATTTAAAAAATTATTTATTTTGCAAAAATATTATTTTTGGGGTGTGAAGGTGATTTATGCGTTTGAACGAGTTACGAGAATTCAATTGCTATAAACATCGTCTAAATGATATTTACTTACGCTGTCTGGCACGGCAGAACTTAAAGGTCATTTGAAAATCCTAAAGGCCTTTGGCGTAAAGGTCCTTTAGGTGCCCGTCTGACAGAGGTATAAGATACTCTTGAGGGGGGGACACACATCACGGCGAATGCTGCGACGCGATCCGCCAGATGTAGTTCTATTGGGTCGCGTCCCAGTATCTATTCCGACAGCGTCTCCGCCGGCCAGACGACGCAGGTAAAAAAACAATAAAAAAAAAAACGAAAAAGTGTTTCGTTGCTATGCACCTCTGCGTGTACGCGTTCCACTTGGTGCGTCTGCTCTGACCTTGACGGACGCTGGCTTGAGCACCTCGCCATAGAACTCATCACTTGAAAGTGCTCGTGAAACATTTCATATTGCAGTTGAGGCATGAAACTAGGGCCAAAGACAAAAATCTGTCTAAGCAACGCCCGTAGTGCACGTAGCAAGTTCTACGTAGCACAAGCATGAAAACAACCTTAAAAATAAATATGTATCCCATAAAGCAGCATTGTAAACCGGGCCCATGACAGGCGACCCCTAGCCGATCGTCGAAAAGTCATCTGGTGGCACCGGTTACATTCGTGGCGACGAAAGTACTCTTTCTGGCAAGTGCCACGCGTTCAGTGTCAACAGCAATCTTTCTTACACCCCACTCTTGTTTCATTGCATGTTGTTCTTACCGTGGTAGTTAAATTAATTATATTGTGGCTATAGGCCGTGAATCTCATCTTGCTTCCGAACCGTCTTCATCAAGAGTTCGTGCTTGTAATCAACTCGCCTGTCGGCGAAGCTTTTTTCTTTATAGTACGTTGAAATAGTTTAAAGGGTTACATGCTTTTATCTCATAATTTGTGTCAATAAGACGTACAATGTGCTGCTTCACTGTAGCTTTTATGCTGCATTCACAATGGCGTTCTAATCGCAACCGTGAAGTGAATTTGCTTGTTTTATCATCAAATTCGTTTGAAACTGCACCGAATCTTTAAGCAACCACGTTCGCAACCGATTCACGATCGCGGTTCAACCGCCAGTGTGAATGAGGCATTAGGACGGTTCCACGCAACGTCTTTTCCCATCCGGTAAACTACGTTCCGTCATATTGATGAACAGCGTCTGCGACTTTCGTTATTTGTTTATGCACGGACGCTTAGGAATGCAAAGCCCAAGTTCGTCTGCTTTTTGCACAGGGATGGCGATGATGTCAGAACGCCAAGATCTTATTGGCTGAAAAAAAAATTGTGGGTATATCTTAAGGCATATAACACTGAGGTCTACACGCTATCTTTTCAATCAAAACCAATCAGAGCTCGGCGTTATTTTGACGCCAGCGCAACTCCTGCGCAAGAAGGAGACGACTTGCTCTCTGCATTGGCGTCGTTTTGGGTGCCGATGAAACGCTAAATCATGGCGAGTGGCTTCGTCTAGGACAGAACTTAGTAGCTACGCTCGTGGACGTATTTGGGCCGCATAAACCCAAATTTATTTCGATGCGTTTTTATTCAGAGTCGCCCCAACGGCGTCTCTATATATTTAGGCTTCAATGACTGCTGCCGGGTCGGCTTCTCGATCGCCGGTTGGTCTCAAGTCTGAATAAAGACCCGCATGTATAAAAATTCAGAGGCCGGTTATGCTCTATTGTGTTGCCAACTACTCCTGAAAACGCTGTCGATCATGACAGCAAAAGCTATAAAGACCTGTAAAACATTGCCTCCGCGCAAAGACATGCAGACGGCAAAAGTTCATCAATTTGGCGTTCGGTAGAATATTGAGCTGGAATTGTGTCACTGAAACCGCCATATTACTCTGCCCTCCATCCCTCTGCGAAATGAAAGTGCGAAGCTCACCTGATAAAGTCCAGAAGCACCTGACGGGTTCTCCTCATGGCCCCCGTTCTAGTGAAGGGCAGGCTGGCTTCAAGTCGGCTTAGCCATTGGGGTTTGCATTCGATTATCGAGTCGAAATGAAGTAACTCCGAAAATTTGTCGACGTGTTTGACAAGGTTCCCGCGCTTCGGGTCGTTTAAAACACATTTGTTTCCAAACAAAAAAAGACTGGTAACGTTGAGCGTGCTTGAAAGGATGAACTCGAAAACCGGAACAGCACGTTCTTTGGCTCCTTCTATTTTGTTGATAAGGTTCAACAATTCCTCCTGTAATATAAGAAGTAATTATTGCTGTGTTGCATTGCAACACGTCTACGAATGCTGCTAAGATTGCTTCGACCAGAACTGACTGGCACCGAAATTCGGCAGCCCGCGATGCCAACGTCAAATTGCCTAGAAGTGCACACACGAGCCGATGAATTTAGAAAACGATAAAGTATAATAACCTATTTCAGGAATGTGTTATTCGCACCTCAATTTTCATTTACCTGGCAGCGTTCTAAAGGTGCGCAGTAAAGGCCTGTTCACACACTTGCTAGTGATTATGACCCTGTGCACTGAAGCATGTTAAAATCCTTAACAACGAGAACATACTGGCACCACCTATTAAAGCTGTGAAAAAGTTGGCAGTACCATACATTTCCTATTTTTCGCGTATCATTCTTTCTTTTTTTTTTTTGTCTTGAAAGAAATGTTGCCGCTGTTGTGAACGACAATTTCCTTTAGGTAGTACATACATTTGATGTCACAAAAACCGCAAACTCTTCGCTCTAGTGAACCGTAGTTCGAGTGTAACGGCAAAAAGGGCGCAATTCGTGATAGCTCCAAGCTATCAAAAATGGTGCCAGCTCAAACATGGCCTGGTGGAAGGCTGTTTAACAAACAAAAAGTCGTTTGGAGCATTGGCGACGAAAGATCCAACATAGGCCACACTAATTCCCCCTGCCCCCCGCCCTATGCAAGACCTGTGTACGATATATTAAACTCACCGGACACAAACGGAACAGCTAGTTCATCATCATAAACCTGATCATCGGAACATTCATTTCATAGCCGTGTTCTTTATCCGATCTTTAAATTTTTTTTATCATTTCCAAGCAATTATAGTAAAGAAAATACCCGTAATAGGTTCACGATTATTAAACTTTAAAAATATTGTCCGCGTTTTTTTTTAAATTTAGAAGTCCTGTATGCGTGCAATGCACTCTTTAGGAGCTATTGTTTCATTTGTTAGGTATACATTAAACAGTCGTTCCAAGAGTAAAGTCCCTTTGTTTTTATATATATTTTGGAAACTGAATTGATGCGACGTGACCAGGGAGTGGGAGGAGAAGGGACACATGGAACGGGGGGGGGGGGGGGGGGGGGGGGGAGAGGAAACTAAAGGATTGTGATGTGAGAGAAGAGGAAGGAGAGGGAAGAAAGAAGAGAGGAATTCAGAAACTGAATTGTTGGTTCACATGACCAAGGGAGGGGAGGAATGGAAGGGAGTGCCCCGTAGAATGGGGGATAGCTTGGTTGAGAGGTCGGGTGAAGGGTAGGGAGAGGAGAGGGAGGGGAAGGGACAGAATGGTAGAACATATAATGGTACACTTACACCTGAGAATAAATCCGCTGCCGCGGGAGCGGATCCGCGCCCGGCGGCAGCGGCGACGAGCGGGTTGCGTTTAGATCTAATTCCTTCGAGCAGCGGCGGCGGCGCCGGCTGCGGAAGCTGTTCTCGTAACATCCCGTCGAATATGACGAAAAGGCTCGAGAGTTCCCACCTCAACTGTCTTTCCCGGGCGTTGCTGCTCCCCAATCTCTCTGTTCTTGGCTCGACAGGTAGGCGTGAGCTTCTCGTTGACGCTGCATCCCATACAGAAAAAAAAAAAAGAAAAAACAGCGCGAAGCTGATGGATGATTACGTAGACGAAAAAGAGGAATTTGCAAGGATTCTTCTCTCGTCTTCCCTGTTTGCGATGGAGAAAGCGGAGCAGCGACCGCCGAAAAAGCAGCGTTGCCGTCAGCGGTCGTGGGTTCGCCCATGCTTACGAGATCGAGAAAGGACGGGACAACCAATTTGCCTCCTTCCTCGTCTTCGCTCGTATGCCAGTGACGCTTCGCCATGCCAGCGACGCTGGGTGTCTTCGATGCCGTCGACGCCATTGCCGAAAACAAACAGGAAGAACACGTACTCGTGACGTCGGCAGCGTCGTGCTGCGCAAGAACGTCGCTTCCGGTCGGCGAAACGCCTTGTTCGGCGGCAGAAATAGGTCCTGGACCTATTCGGCTCTGCGCCGCGTTTTCCGCCCAGCGTTTCGCCCCAGCAGCAAAAGCTGGGCGGATTCGCTTGCGGATCCGCAAGTGTAAACGTACCATAAGAGAGAAGAGGCACGGGGAGGGGGAAAGGGAAGGGCAACGGATGAGAGAGAATTGGTGTGCCACCTGACGTATAGTTCGCAGCTGAATTTAGTAGATAAACGAATTCTCCGTACAGGTCACGCGACATCAGGCTATGTGAGGTCGATTACCTCCTCTAAATTTATCGGGGACACTGGACGAATATTTAGGTCACGTGGCATCAATATTTCCGCGTCATTTAGCGAGAAAACTGAATGGGTATATAGGTCACGTCAAGATGGTTTTCCCCATTAAATTTAGCGGGGAATCTGAAGAGGTGTTTTACGTCACAAGAGGTGGATTTTCCCTCTAAAATTAGCGGGAAAACGGATTTGACGTCATGGGACGACAATTTTTTCACTTGATGTATTTTTCACGTGAGCGTAAGTCACGTGATGTCAATTTGCCCGCTAAATGTTGCCCGAAATGCAGGCATGCGCGGGCAATCTTTTGGGATTGAATGGTTCCGTTAAAATGCATTTCATTTAAAAGTGAGTAGAGTAAGCCATAGGCTTCCCGTTATTTTTTAAAAGAAAATTGAAGGTTGTATTTATGTTTTTTGTTTTTTTTTTGTAATACAGGTGTATTACGGTGATCTGTCTCGAATAAACGTTAAAAACCGGTTGGAAGTCAACGGTTGCTTATCAGTGTTTTGGTTGCGTGTTTTTGCAACCGACAGACGCTTATCTGTGTTTTTCGGTTAGAACCAAAAAAAATCTACTACCTAATCATAAGTACCTTGATATTCTCCTCCATCGGTGTTTTTCCGAAGCCCAGATCTCGGAGCACTCGGAGACTGAAATTTCTATTCTCCGTCCACGCTTCACCGTTGAGATTAGCCATACCTGAAATAAAAGAAGTGCGCGACATGCGTGGTTACGTTTGCTAAATATATTTTGTGACGATCAACCTTATTCGTCCTCAACGAACCACAATTTCAATTCTGAAAATCCGGCAACTTACAAGTAAGTTGTTTCCACTTCATAACTTTTCATTTACCAAAACCTTGTAGTACTTGTAATTTTTATACTGCGCAACCTTTGGTATGAATGGATCGCAGTCATATTTCGCAACAAGAGGGACCTTGATATTCGACAGGTTATCGCGTATTTGCCAAAGAATGGCTTTATACGTCATTAGGACCGGCCGTATGGTGTTTTTCATACTCAAATGTTTACATTCGTGAAGATTGTATTTAATTACACATAATCTCATCATAAATCGCACCAGGCTTCAGAAACGTTCGGTTGAAATATTTCGCAATTATACTGGCGTAGTTGCACAACCAGTATGAAGGTCTCTGCTGTTTTTGCCAAAAGCTTACCTCGTTCAAAGTAAGGCAGCGTTAGAGGGTTTGATTCTTATCAGTTTGTAGTTGAGTTGGCAAGGGTCAGTTAAAAGTTGGAAAATTGTGTAACCACCAGCTTCTTCTTTACGTTGTACCCGTGTCCCAAATAGTGGCCAGGCGCTCTAAATCGGCCGCAAAAATCGGTTTCTTAACCTATCGCGTTCCGATTTTGTACAGCGTCGGCAACAGGTGGTGCATCTTTTTAATAAAATTCTCAGAGCGAACTTACGTGAGAAAAAAGTAAAAAAAAAAGAAAAAGGCTTAACTCGTGAAGAAAGGTAAAAACGCAGGCGAGCTGTGAATGATAACCATAGTAACCCTGCAACGTAGGAAAATAAAATAAAAAAAAAAACAGACAGAACAACGAAGTCTCTAACACAGCTGTGTTAGAGACTTTGTTGTTCTGTCCGTTTTTTATTTTTTTATTTTTCCTACATCTCAGGGTTACAAGGGAAGGCTTAACTCCTATGGAAACGCAGCGAAGCCACCGGTCTTCAAACCATAGGGCGTCCTATGGTTTGAAGCAGACTTGTACGTAATCCGTTACAAGTAACGAAATTACTTGTAATCCCTTACATTAATCAGTAATTTTGTAGCGAAATAATTACATATTTTCTAGAGTAATTTTAAAGTAATTACCTTACATTTTTGACGTAACGGATTCCTTGTAATTCGTTACATTTTTTTTGGTCAGAATTCCAACCCCCCCCCCCCCCCACCCCCATTCTAAATAAAGGTTTATTTCTTCTTTTTTTTTTCATTTTTGTAAAGTCGAGCGCAGTGACACTGTCCCGCGAATCGACCAGCGCAAAGGAAGGCTTGGCACTCTTCAGTTCCGCAAAGCCTTTTTTTTTTTTTTGCAACACCAAGCCGCTGAATTTATATTTTTTTATACCCTAACATCAATGTCAAAAAATCCAAATGAACAATTCTACAAAAAAAAAAAAGGGGGGGGCAAGTAATTTCCGCTTTTTTTTTAGTCCCTTTGTTTTTTCTTTGCGATCGAAGATGGGGAGAGGAGGACACCAAGTGATTGTGCGCCTCTCCGAGAAGCTCGAAGCGGTAAGTGCACTGAAAAGAATTAACAATGTCCTTCTCAGATATAGTGACTAAGACCATTTTCAAAATTTCACAACAGGAGACAACGCTCCGTCTACCCTACCCTTTTTGTGAGTTAGCTTTTTTGCGAGCATTTAGAAAATGGCAGTAGTCTTCCTTTCTTCTTCTTCCTGTTTTGCCCCAGCAGGATGCATCTTATCTCAAGCAGATATTTTTACAAATAAAACAATGGTGGCTGACGTAGACTTGATATTCTGGGCTTGAGGAGAGAGTGAAATTCGTGAGTGCGGCCATAGCGCGGTTTACTCAGTACTCTACCCTTTGCTGCCTGCATCAGCGGACGTCAATCTGGAGAACACTGGAGAAGCTGCAGTCGGTTCGTGCTCCGTGCGTTTTTGAACGGCACCAAGAAAGGTACACACGGCAAACGTGCGTTTACATTTCCTTGTTTTAACTGACGTTGTAATTAATTTATTCACTAACGTTTCAAATGAGGTTCTAACTGTTCAGAACCACAGGAAGAAGAATATCGAGCCAAACCTTATATATTATTTAATTATTTAATTATCACCTTACTGTTACAACTTACAACTATGTTTTGCTATTGATGACGTATACAGCTTCGCGATTTAGAGAATGGAGAATTTTAGTAGATCGGTTCGATGACTCCAATAAAAATATCCGATACTTCGCCGCCGTCTTTGCGTATGAATCATATCGTTATCGGGTATAGTTATCGCGAATATCGGATGTATCGGAAGGATCTACTAAATCTCTCGAATAGCAGGCAACGGCTGCAACGACGAAGCTTTGCTCTACACTCGAGGTAAATAGTACTTCCCTTCCTTCGCTGAAAAAGCTCAATGCAGAGCATGAACCATTCGTGAGGAACAATATGGCACACCCATCCAGTGCCTTAGCTCAAATGGTGTTCAGCGTAGCAATCGACATCTTTAGTAAGACATAATGCAAAATGCCTGACGAGACATTCGAGAGCCAGGTGTTGGCAAGAATAACCCTCTTCCCTTTGTTTCTTACTTGAGGACAATAATGTTAAAAGTAACGCCACGAAAGTAACGAATTACTTTTTGGAGTAACGGTCAGTTACTTTCATGGGAGGGTAATTGTAATTAAAATAAATTACAATTTAACCTTGAGTAATTGTAAATGTAATTCCTTACTTTTTTTCAGTAACGTGTACAAGTCTGGTTTGAAGACTGGTGACTTCTCTGCATTTCATAGGAGTTAAGCCTTTTTCCTTTTTTTTCTTTTTCCTCTTTTTCCGAATTTCATAGAAAAAATGCAACACCTGTGGCCAGCGTTGTAGAAAATCGGAACGCGATAGGTTAAGAAACTGCATTCTACGGTCGATTTAAAGAGTCTGGCCGCTATTTGAGACACGCGGGATATGCATCGGTTAATATAATTAACGGCCAGGTGCATCATATGAATCCAATTGTTTATACTGAAGGTTCACATTGTCGTAACTTGACACTCGCCTAGTAAGTGTCGGTAACTTTCGGAAAGCACGTTTGCGGGAGCTACAAACCACAAGTCACACGCAAATATCACTTTCAGACGAGTGTCTCTACACGACACTAATTTCGAAGAAATGTCCATTTATCTACGTCGATTGCAACCTGGAACACAACATGTTTATTGGCTCTACCAACATACGACAGTCTTGAAGCCCTAACCCGTGGCTTGGCCATATAAACCATTCTGTTTCGGACGAGGAACATAGAGTCATATATGTCTAATACCTCTAAAGAGAGGTTGTGATTTTAGTGCTCTTATATTTTGCACACATACCATTCAAAAGCTTTGATTAAAATGTGCTAAGCTGAAGTTCTTACTTTTATTTACCAGGGCCGTTGCGTACACGCGGTGTGCTTAGAACGCCAATGGTAATTGCGCAAAGCGAATAGCGATGGAGGTCACTTTCAAAACGCCAAGCACTTCTACACAACCGGGGGGTTAATTAATCATTTTATAACTCGCACCCTCTAATAGCTCAAACTGAGCATAGCAGCACTGGTGGTCACGTACCCATGGTGCCCTGTGTAACTTCATAAAATATAGTTTGCCGAGGTTTGCTGCGTTCATCTTCGGCGCAGTAGAATTGTCTGATGAGCGCCCAGTCATTCAGGATGACTATATTAGCTGTTGCAGTCTTCACCCTAAGAAAGAGAAAGGGTTTCCTACGTCAAAACAAAGTATTATTAAAAGTACCCTTAAACATAAAATAAAATGTCCACCATATTTCGAGACAACAAGAAACATGGGCTTGTGTGAGCTCTCAACGTCGATAACTTGAAATTAGACCACAGCGATATCTATTGAAGCCCGCAGAATCTTTCTGCGCCGTCTAATAAGATATTGCAACTGCAGTGTTAATGATGGCTTTATAAATAATTGAAACGTTGATGTATTTCTAAAGTAACTTTTTATGCACGGCCCACTATGGCTCTTCTTTGAGACGCTATTTCTTTTCGCTATATATTGTCACGAATGACAACTGATGAGGCGATTATAACTGAAGAAACTAAATGTTTAGGGAGGCGAACTTGTGCCCAGAACGAGAAGGAAACAGAAGATAACAGAAGAGCGTCGCGGGCGTCGATGGCGGCGGAACAGCAGGATCGTACGCTGGGGCAAGACTGACTCTTCTCGCCATGCGGAGTCTCTTATGTACCCTTGTGGGTTTCTAGAACATTCGGCGCAGAACTTTGGGCACGTATAACATTTGGAACTCGATCTGACGAGAATGTTCTCGAACCTACGCGAATGCTAAGTTGAAAGAATAAATAAAAGCACATTCCGCTGGTTGGAATCGAACCTAGACCTTCCGCGTGAGAGTCAAGCCCGCTAACCATTCGGCCACGCACGCGCTCGCTCGGCAACACGCGTGCCAATATGTCTCTCTGAAGAGTGTCTTTTTTTTCATTTTGCGCACGTAAGAGTGAACGTCTTCGATTTCGACAACATAATTAGCCTGTTTATTACGAAGGGAAACTTGCCCAACTCATACTGCGTTCACCTGCCTAACACAGCTTATAGCCGCGTAGTTGCATCATTTACATTTAACGCGTGTCAACGACTGCCATTTTATCTGGAATACAATGGCGCCTAGAAATAAAATCGAATGCTGTCTGTTATACAGGTTTTATCAACTGAAGTGTGCCAAGCTAAAAACAAATGCTGGTGCAGGCTACGCACGTTGCACCATACAGCATTATTGTCAGCCACATTGAGCAAGCTAAGAAGAATATTGTTTTTCTAAAATGGCTAATTAACACATATTAATTAGCAGGCGTTTAAACGCTCTACAACCTGCTCTGCAACCTTTCTGTTGAAGGGTTTGTTCACAAAAGTAATATTTAGTTAGCCAATTATGTTGTGTTCATAACCAGTAGAACAAACACACTGCAAAAAATAATTGACTTGCTCAATAAGACTACGAAGAATATTGCACTCATTCTACACGTGTAGAGCGCGCCAGCTTAAAGACTTCGTACAATTTAGCGAAAACAACCTGCATAAGTTAAAACGATCTTTACATTCTTATTTAACGAAATTATTCACGGTTTTTACTAGGTTTCATCTTCTGGTTAAATGAAACATGGACTTCGGTGAATTTCTTGTACTTAAATAAGGAAGAATACCTGCCTAGTCTCCCGTATTTCCCGGGGGACTCCTGGATTTCGACCAATTTGTATGGTTGTACGATTGACAGAAAAATCTTCCGGAAATCGCAAATCACACCCACCCGCCTTTACCCGCACTTAAACAAGGAGTTGTTACCTTCGTAACAAACAGCTGCAATGATAGCGACGCCCAGATGTATCTCGCTAGCATAAGCAGTGCAATATAAATGTAGAGAAGTTATCATCAAATAAATTTTTGTCCAAATTTCTCTTTTAAAAAATCCCCCCCTTCCCGATTCTCCTGGATTTGGTTTCTCCGAACTTGCCAGATATGAAGAAGACACCAATAGGAAATACCTCCAAAAATAATGTCTACACTAAATGTCGCTATATCCCCATTCAGATGTATATACATCTGCTTAATAGTCAAGAATTTAACATCCTACAGAACTTAATGTCAGTAATTTTGGTCAGTAACGGTATAGTTTGGCGAAGGAGCAAGATAACTTAAGACTGCCAATTTTGAAGACGTAACTTACAGGATACTTGATTTTAATCTGAACGCATTATTTTAAGGTGGTGAGAGTTGCACGGGTAGCTTCTTCGCAACGTAATTATCAAATTTAGCGGATAATAGACGAGGGAAAACCCGTCGCGGTAAGTCGACAATTTACCTAAAATTGGTCCTAGGTTTAATTAAGCGTTGTCCTATCCTCATCTCATTTAAAATTGGTGAATAAGCCTTTTTTTCAATATTCAGTTTTAGGAGTGATGTTGTAATTGCGGTATTGATGGCAGTAAGGGCTAGAAACTATCTCAGTTAAAACAGTCTTCGAGATGCCATCGGGTTTCAAAATAGTCATCGATCAATTCTCGCGTTTTTATTTCCCCATTTTGGAACTGAACGTTGAAAAAGCGCCGAAATTTCAATCCATAACGACACATAGAAGTGGGATGTAAACATATCTTGATTACATTTTGAGCATCACACGAGCGTGACAATGCCGGATGCGCCGACGTTGCGCTTCCCACAAAATGGCGAAGCACCAGAAAGGGATACTTAACATTTTCATAAATTATTAATTAGGGATGGGCACTTAGTCGGTTGACGTGCTGAATTATCGATTGATGGTTTTATCCCGATTGATTTGTTACCGGTCAATCGGTTACATTTTGACTAACACAAAAAAAAGAAAGAAAAATGCAACGCTTTCACCACGCAGACGTGGAGGAGGGCACCTGCAGGAAGGCAATCTTTAGTTGAGATTTTTACCTAAAGTAAACTTTAGGGGCGAAATTTGTAACTCCCAACAATTGAAGAAGTTTATACGAGTCCAAGGCCACTTCAACGCCCTGCTGTGGGGTCCGTTTAGCGCAGAAGGGACTGTTGTGAACAATCAAGGGAGTTCTCTATTGCCCGAGAATATCAACGGACTTCTTCAGTTCTGCGGCTGAAGTAATAATTTCTGAGTGTGGGCGTTTTCTTCTTTGACCGCTCTCAACTACACTTCAAGGTTCATTTAAAATTCAGAATTGCACAGTGCGCCGTTTATCAAACTTCCAGCAGAAAGCGACATATAATTTTGGCTTTCTAAAAAAAAAAAAAATGGCATGCGAATGAACGAATTCCATTCATTAATTATTTAATCGATAAAAAAATGGCGATTATTCATGTTAAACATTTTAATTGACGCCCGGTCCTAATTACTATAGGCTAGGCTAGGAAAACGTTTAGCGCCGGAGAGTCCGACGCCATTGTTGCTATTGTCACCGACAGAATAAAAGATATGCGCGGGGCGCGGCGACTTCGGCGCACCTCGTTTCTCCTCCGCAGTTAATGAAATCGCTATATTAGCCGACAAGAACGCAGTAGGGCGAATCACGAGTGGAGGAGCGGGGACATAAACCATGAGTATTTTAACGTGAAACGTTCCTTGGCTATAGTTGTTCCGTATTTTGTGAAGCCTCTACCCGTGACGTCACACAACGTCATCACGTGACGTCATTTTTTCCGGTAAATTTAGCAGGGAAATCGAGGTCACGTGGCTTCGTGTCACGTGAACTATACACCAAAATCCGTTTCCCCCCGCTACATTTAGCGGAAAAATTTACATCATGTGACATGGTCGCGCGAATACGCAAATCCAGTTTCTCGCAAGATTTAGCTGTAAAACTGACGTCGCCTGACTCTCAACACAAATTCAGTATCTCCGCTCAATCTAGTGGGGAAAATGACGTCCCATGACTTTGTGTGACGGCACCTATAAACAAATTCAGTTTCCCCTCTAGATTTAGCGGGAAAAATGACGTCACGTGACCTCAACACGAATTCGGTTTCCCGCTAAATTTCGTGGGCAAAACGATGTCACATGACTTCATGTCACGTTACCTAACACAAAGTAAGTTTCGCCGCTAAATTTTGTGGAAAAATTGACGTCACGTAACTGACCTATAGACTTTTTCGTATTAATAGTTACCTGACCGGTGGACAGAGTGCGCTGACACACGCGAAGCGACGAAGGTACAATAAGGTGGAACATTTATCAGAAGCAGAAGCGAGCCAACTAGCTTGTACAGGAGAAAATGAGTCAAGTTAACTTGGACACTGTGAGAGACATAAATTCAAGTGGTAAAGATGCATCCTGTAAGTTCTGGAGATACCTCTGAACTCTCAATGGAGAAAATCAGCGACCAACCATTCTTGACGAGGGCGCAGGACTGCCCACGGAGAGACTGGGATGAAACCTTACAGGTCACATGATAGGACTGCTCTCGCTTCCGAGAGCAGTACTACTGCAAGATCCCCGACCCCAGCTGAGTGAAGGCTGTACACCGGACAATATTGACAGTATGTCGATCGGCAGCGTGTCAGTGCTTCGCGCGCTGGCTCGCATCAAGAGCAATATCGCCCAGGGATTAGACGAGATTCCAGCAATCGTCCTCACAGTCCGGGGGAAAGATTCTAGAGATCAACCCGCTGAAATATTCTATGACATTGTCTCTGGAACGGAAGCCAGTCCGTGCGACTGGACGCACGGGAAAGTCGTTATGGTTCCGAAAAGAGGCTGCGACCCTCAGTACTTCAAAGGCTGTAGACCACTAACCGTGACTAACATACTATATAGGACTTTCGCCAACATTATGAAAGAGCGCATGACCGCATGGGCGAAGGGGGTGGAACTTGTTACGGAACTTCAAGAGGGCTTTCATGGGTGAAGTCGATTAGAAGATTGAATCTTTACTCTCACACAATTTATCGAAGCGGTCAGAAAAGAAAACCGGAGTCTCGTATCTTGTTTCCTGGACATTGCAAAGGCGTATGACAGCGTTCTTCGAGCTCGGCTTATTTGCCAGCTAAAACAGCTAAACAGCCACCTAGATTGGACCGCGGTCATGCGGTCATCTACGGCCTATACCATGGCAATATTGTTAGGGCACAGCTAGATGCGGCTAACTTTGAAGATGTCCTGGTGCGAGGGGACTACGCCAGGGACGCCCGCTCTCTCCTTTGTTGCACATGTTGTATGTAGCCG